ATATGATGTGCAAGAAACAATGCAATTTGTTGTATTGACATCAGACCAAATGTAGGACTTCAGAAGACTTGAAATACAGCACACAAGCATATGGACAATTTTATGGTGCTTTTTTTTTGTCCTTTTGCAGCGTGACTGACCCTGGTCAATGTTTGCTTTCTTTGCATGGGAACATATTTCTATGAAACATCTCCTTTTGTGTTACATAGAAGAAAGTTAGTCATATGGTTCTGGAGAAACATGAGGGTAAGTGAGTTATGGCTGAATATTTATTTATTTATTGACCAATTGATTGGAACTTTTCTTTTAAAAACAATCCTTATCATGTCATAAAATCTGAACATGTCCAGGTCACATTTTACACCTGAAAGAAAAATGAAAGGATATTATATTTTGCATTAAGAAAATAAAATAAAGTCTTTAGAATAAGACCAAGATTTTGTGTATTTTGACATTATTTTAATGTCAGGTAAGCAACGTAACGCAAAAAAAAGTCATTTTAACTACTGTAAGGCAAATAAATGTTTAGATAGAAAAAAATGAATTAATTAACTACTTAATAAACCAACTTTAAACAAATATTACTGTTAGAGAATCACCATTGAAAATAATGGGAGGTACAAAAAAGTTTTAAGAAACATAAATAAAACTTGGTAAAAAAAAAAATTATTTTTCTGTCTGTTTATATCTTTCTCACTCAGCCGGTCACTCTCTCTTTCCTAAAGCACACTCTTCGCAGGTGTTCGTAACCTCAGTGAAGAAATGAACATTTTAATTTGTCACTAACACTTGAAGCTGGGCAGAAGGACCTTAACAATCTGCTTTTTCATTCGTTTTGGAACTACTAAGTAGGAGTTGAAATTTTCTGGGCAGTTCTTGCATGTATTCCCATTCTGATGTACTTCTCACTGGAAGTGTGTGTGTGTGTGTGTGTGTGTGTGTGTGTGTGTGTGTGTATGTGGGTGGGTGTGAGGCCGAGAGGTCTAAGTAGTTTGGCTCTGAGACTCTTAGCAGAGTTTGTGATGGTGTTTTTACTGGCGATGCTTTAGCTGGGCATGAGACGTACGGGTTTTCTAGCCTGTGTGGATCAAACACTGTACTGCCTGAGAAATGCTCCCTTAACATACACCATCACACAAATTCTCTGATGGCCATTCAAACCATCATTTTGGTACTGTATTCCCCATATTTCTCTCTCTCAGGTGAATAAATCGCGCTCACACACTAGTCAGTAGGTGGTTGGCAGCGTAGGGGTCGCCCACTGTGGGAAAGCGTTTGCATGCTCACATCTGCTCTGCACGTTCCTCCCTCGTCTGGGTTTTGTTTTTCACAGTTTGGGTAATGATGGCAGGGCATGATGTAAAATCCATGTGTGCGCGCACATTGCCGCAATCGGTGTGTGTTTACTACTGTAGTGAGTACAGACGGCCCACTGTTTCCCTGCACCATAAACTCTAGCTGAACACTTAGAAACGAAAAGATTGCACATGTACTTTTAACTGCTAGCGTGTTGTAAAGGTGCTTGGGCCGTAATACTGTATTTCACAGAATTCTTGAGTGTTCCATCTTATATTCTTATATAAAGTGAGAAAGTGTTATGAATAACTAAAGGGAGTCTAAATTACCTCATCGTTTACTAGGGCTGTGTTGCAAATATCAGTTAGTGTTAGGGTTGTTACGATTTAGCGGTATCACGGTTTGAACGTGCACAGTTATCATACCGTAAACATTTGCATATCTATGGTTTGAAAAAAAAAAATTATGAAAAAAAAAACTCACCTGTGCACATGCAACTTATTTCCGCTTGGCTGCTTCACTCTGCATTCACTTGGCTGATAAATATCAGCCATGAGATAATATCTAATCTCCATCCCCGCCGAAAAGAAAGTTCATATCTGCAGTATGGGAATACTTCAGATATTAAAAAAGCAGACAATACATCCAACATCTTTGCTCATATTTGCTGACACCATCCCTTCATGCAGATAAAGGTATGTCGCATTAATAAAAAGTTATAAGTTAAGGCCGTATGATTTCTGTGAAGCAGAGGGAATCCCGGTGCAGTCGTGAACATGGAATTTACAGTATAACGAGGATGTCATGTAAAACACGCAATCTGATGGATGGATAAGTCAAAAGTAGTTATGATATGTGTCTGTGAATATTAAAGCGCAAAGACACTGCTATATAAATAATCTGCTTGTTTCTGCATGTCTTTGAGTGGCGCCATTTTATCTAACGTACTGCATACTGAAGTACGCATACATAAATGTTGTTGTCAGCGTCTACGATACATAAACATGAACATCAGCAGCGCTGCTCTGAGAGAAAATGTAAATAAACATTTCCTACTTTTATTTGAGAAAAAACATTGTCAAATACACTCTGAAACTCAAAGGTCCGCTACAACCCATCAAAATAAAAGTACGATTTAATTTTAAATTATGACAGAAATATATTAGCATTGTACAATATACTTCAAAGTTATAATAACAACAATAATAATATTCTTTATAATAAAATAATTTAAACATTGTTTTCAAGGAAAATCATGTTTGTACTTGTTTTAACTTTGCCAAAAATAACATTAACATTAAAACATTAAAGGGGTCATATGATGTTGCTAAAAAGAACATTATTTTGTGTATTTGGTGTAATGAAATGTGTTTATGCAGTTTAAGGTTAAAAAATACATTATTTTCCACATACTGTACATTATTGTTTATCCTCTATGCCCCGCCTTTCTGAAACGCGTCGATTTTTACAAAGCTCATCGGTCTGAAAAGTGAGGTGTGCTGTGATTGGCCAGCTATCCAGTGCGTTGTGATTGGCCGAATACCTCAAGCGTGTGACGGAAATGTTACGCCCCTCACCATACTGTGATGATGCCCTGTCAGGCCGGAGCGACAAGACAAAACATGAAAACCCATTATAAACGAGGCATTTGTTGCATCCAGTGGGGACATAATTACAGATTATAATGACTTATACTGTCTTTTTACGCGTTGCATCGTGCCGCGTAAACATAAAACCATGTCTGCATTTGTGATCGGAGAAATGACAAACAACAAGTGCTACTCTACACTGCTCAAAACTACAACTTAACCACTGATTTCTAGTCGTGTCCTCTTTTGGAAGGCCAAACAAAGTAGTTTCGCTTTCACAACGAAACACACAGTGTCTCCACGACATGGCGGCAACAACAACACTACAGCGAGAATAAAAGTTACGCCTTTCTTTGCGTGAACATTTGGGCGGTGTTATGCAAATATCCCCACATCGTGACGTAGACATGTGGTTGACTCTGTGTGTATGTGCTGCACATTTGGAAGAATTGACAATAAAGCAGACTTGACTTGACTTGACTCTTAACTTTTATAAAGAATATCTGTTTGGATTTGAGACTTTAGTCTTTGCAACTTTACAGATCTTCTTTATGCACCAAGAGCTTGTAACACTCCAAAGAGAAAGGAAAAATTGAAATCGCATCATATTTCCCCTTTAATTAAAATGTGATATAGATATACATATACATAAGGTGTACAGCTTTATTTTTTTTATCGTTTTTTTTTATTTATTTATTTTTTCAGAAGGGAGACTTCAATAATTTCATTAAAATGGTTTCAAGTTTGTTGTAATAAAGGATTTGTTCACTCAAATAACTTGTTCTTGTTCTTTTAAGAGTCATTGTTACTGATAAGAATTATGGTTTAATGTATACCGTGAAACCGTGATATTTTCGGAGACGATTATCATATCGTGAAAATCTCATACCGTTACAACCCTAGTTAGTTGATTTTAATTAACCTCAATTTAGATAAACTGATATGGGTTCTTAAATGTCATAATCAGTCTTTTTGCCTATTCTATGTGAAAAGCATTTTAGAAGAAACTTTCAAATTCTGGCAAAAATTCTAATTTAAAAATTCTACAATATTTGTGGTTTTGATGCTCTTTAATGTGGTGTTACAGATATCGTAGCTGCCTCAGTTTAAGTAGCAGCGATCATCTCGTCCTTTTTTATCACTATTTCTTTAATAAAATAAACAAGAATGAACATCAGAAGGTGTGTTGAAAGAAACATTGTTGTTTATTGCAATGTATCATGTGCAACTCAATCTGTGACGTCAGTAAAACTCATATACAATGTCACGTATCATAACATTTACCTCCTTACATAACCTGTTCATAATGCTGTCATTATTTAATGTATGTTTGAATAAATCTATCATAAAGTCACCGTTTGAATGTTGTGTAATTTAAATGTTTGTATACAACTACATTTTTGGTTGTTGATTATTATATCAAAAATAAACAGTTTAATTTAATATTTAATTGTATATGTTAGTGTTGTACCAATTGACAGGATAGCTGTAGAGTTCAGAGCTTTACTTGAGACTTTTTTTTGCTTAGGAAATATTTACATTTACTGTACCTGATATACATCCAAGTGTACCGATATTGAATTGAAATTGGAAACAAATGAAAAGCTTGTAAATTTGAAACCGAGTCATGTAGGGATGTAACGATTCACTCAACTCATGATTCGATTCGATTCATGTTTTTTTTTTTAACAAAATTAGATTTAAGACAAATTATAAATTAAATGTGTCCTTTTATTATTGCTTGGACAAAATACTGTACGTTAGTATATAATGATATACTAATATAGCACTTGTAAATGATTGCTCATTTGTTGGTTTTGATTGCTTCTATTGTCCTCATTTGTTAGTCGCTTTGGATAAAAGCATTTGCTAAATAACAAAATTTAAATATAATGTAAATGTAAATAACAAAACTAAATTGAAATTTTAAAACAAGCCCCAAATCAAATAAATAAGTAACACAAATAAAATATATATCTTCATATAAACAAAATAAGGCTTTGTCTGTGCTCTTTCCTTTTAAAATTAGAGGCAACCACAGCATTTTAATCATGATCCAAACAAAGATGCAGCATACATGCAACATGAGCAGTTTTTAATCTAAATTGCATTGTATAATTTTGAAATTTGAAGCAAAAACAGAATGGTTTGACTTCAGTTTTGTGAAACTATGCATAAAAAATATCTGCATGAAACCGAAACAGCAGACGAGATGAATGAGACGCAGATTCACTCTCTGCCAGCAGGTGGTGCTTAAAGTGCTTCCTTGGTTTCCGCTGTAAACAAAGCAGCGCTGCACTTATAAACTTTAATATGCATTATACAGAGGCAAGAGGAAAATAAAAAATACCATCGAAAGACAGTAAGTTTCCCTCAGACACACCTATTTGAATCGCGATTTGTTTAGTATCTCAACCGATTTGAATCGTCACATTTAATTCGGTAATTTTCAACTGGCTCGCAGTTAATTGTTACATCCCTAGAATCATGTAATCTGTGTCAATACCCAGCCCTTTGACTGACTTACCCTCATGTTGTTCTAAACCTGTATGACTTTCAAAAGATTTTTTGAACATGTTGAACAACGTTTGTTGAAATGTTCACATTTCATATACAGTAAAAGCCAAGGCTGTGAATCTCAACAAAGACAAAAAAATAAATGCTGTGAAAGTGGTCCATGTGACTGTAAGTCTTTTGAAGCCATACAATTTTCCATCCAACGAGTCAAAGAGAACAAAATCTGTTTGGAAATGTAGTCGTGTAAGACAATTATACAAAAATACTTTGACGACAGACTTTGCTCAAAAGCATGTAGATGTTTTGAACGAGATCGGTCCGCTGCTAGTCAAGTTATCCCGTCTCATAGCTCAAAGTCGCATGACTTTTTCGATGCGCATGGAGGAATTTATTCGGTAAATGTGTTTCCATTGTAGTTTATGCGCATTTTTTCTTATCGTATAAAAAGTTTATCCTACCCTCAAATGTGCGCATAAGTTTTTTTGTGCGCATTTTTAGAATTTATGAGCATCTTGGTGTTTCCATCCAGCGTTTTTTTAAGCGATATTCCAGAATGCGCATACAAATAGGTGGATGGAAACGCAGCTTATGTGTACTCTGAAAAGTGTTATGCAAATGAATTTGAGTTTGTATGATGAGCTGAAATTTACATGAATATTCTTTAAAACATCTAATTTTGTGCAAAAGGGAAAATGTTAAAAGTGTTCGGAACAGCGTGAAGGTGACTAAATGATGACAGTTTTCATTTTTGGGTTACATTTCTCTTTTTTTGCTGTTTTCATTTCTCCTTTTTCATTTCTCCTTTTTATTTATTAATTTTTTTTGCTGAGAGGTTCAAAAGAAAACTGCCTCTCCAGGTTGTGAGTGTTTTGCCAGTGTTTGATTTCACTGGCCTGGGCTTTATTTATTGCCAGTGACTGTAATATTGCTATTTTTATGAGAGAGCAAAATTTGGTCATTGAGACTTGGTGGTCGTGGCATTGATGAAACCACAGCTTTCTCTGAGTCAAGCTGGGACGACAGCTGTGTTTGTGTGTAACGCTCTGAATGTCTCACTGGGCTGTTTAGGTTTTCATAAAGATTCCAGCGCATCCCCAGAACTACCGTCTCCAAACTCACACATAAACTCACCACGGTCTGTCCTGCTGAGAAATACATTTATTTTCCGAGATTAATCGTTACCGTGCGCCTCTGTCTCTCCAGAGGGCCAGTGATATTAATAAATGCCATAGCGAATCGTTTTTTCTCTCCACCGCACTCCCTGTTTACTCTCATTTCCTCTTTCGTCCCCTCTTCTGTGTTGCTGCCTCTGTGTATGTTGGAGGAAAACCGAGATAGAGGGAGTTGAAAAGAGAAATAAATCAGAATTGTTAGCCGAAGTCTGTCTCATGACTGACTAGTTCTCGTCTCCCTCCCTCTGTTAATGATGTTTTTCTCCCAGTGTGTTGTTTTGTGGTAATGAGTACTTGGCTTGAGTTTAAAGATTTGAGAATGGTTACCATCACTCCTCTTATGACCCGCTACAGTTTCGTTTTTACTTCATTTCACTTTTCTCTCGCTCTGAGTAACTGCGGCATTCTTGGTTTATTTATTGGAACCTGTAGGAGAGCCATTCTGTGAAACTGTGCCTTCTATTTTGAGGGAAAGTGTTTGTTAAAGTACTTTTTTTCTAGCAGACATCTGTAAGACTTGTTCTATTGTGAATGGGGGAAAAAGCTATTTATTTATGGAAATGCTATTTTGAATGGGTATATTTATAATTAATTGTTTTAATGAATATATTTAAGTTTTCAAAACACTATATATTCACTACCATTCAAAAGTTTGGTATCAGTATGTTTTATTTTATGCAGTAAATTGACAAAAGTGAATGTAAAAATATTTATAATGCTGCAAAAGATTTCTATTTGAAAATAATTTATGTTTTAATATAATTTTTTTATTTAAAAAACGTAGTACTGTCAAACGATTAATCGCGATTAATCGCGTCAAATAAAAGTTTTTGTTTATGTAAAATATATGTGTGTACTGTGTATATATAAATACACACACATGCACACATATATTTAAGATAAATATGTTGTTTATATTAAATATATTTATATATATATATATATATATATATAATATAAATTATATGAATATATACATGTAAATACAAGTAAATATTTTCATAATATATACTGTATATGTGTGTATTTATATAGACATAATATATACACAGTACACACACATATATTATGTAAACAACAAACACATTTTATTTTGAATGCAATTAATCGCGATTAATCGTTTGACAGCATTAAAAAAAGTATCACTTTCTACAAAATATGAAGCAGCACAACTGTTTAAAAAAATTTATAATACCATTAAATGTTTCTTGAGCAGCTAAATCAGCATATTACATTTGTTTTCTGCTCTAGAGTCACAGCTGAAGAAACTGCGCGAGGAAACTCTGCAGATTCTTATGGCCTCTGAACTTGTGGCCCCTCAGGGGCCCGATGACATAAACCTCTCAGTCCCTGGAGCCACACAGTATCTGCAGAGTCTGGCTCACATAGCCGTGAGCGTCTGTGTGGAATCACCTCACCTGTGGGATTGTCCAGAGTCTGCCGGGTTTCAGAGAGACCTTCTGGAGCGACTGCTGCGGTGCCTGCACTATGAGGTTCGGCTGTTTGTCCTGGATCAGCTCCTCAGGAGACTTCAGAAGACAGAGGAAGACTCTCAGCATCGTGGTCAGGGACCCTTGCCCTTTGACCTCAGTGTGTCTAGCCTAACCTCCCTGGCCTTTCATGAGACGTACCCTGGGTGTCAAGCCAAGGTGAGGAAATCACGCTTTTGCATCAGAATACTGTACAAAACACTGCAAAAAATAAATAAATACAACACAACAAAACTTGCAAAAGCTGTAACTTTACAGAACTTTAAACACTTTACAAAAACAAAACCACAATAACAATGACTTGCATTACTTCACCTTTAAACACTCTTCTAAGCCTTACAAAACACAATACAAAAGCCTTAAAAATCTAAAGCTACAAAATATCACTCTGGCTAATATCAAACTATGCTTTCTTTTTGGATTTTTTTTGTCACTTGTAATTGAGTGAATTTGTTGTTTTCTGCTCTAGAGTCACAGCTGAAGAAACTGCGCGAGGAAACTCTGCAGATTCTTATGGCCTCTGAACTTGTGGCCCCTCAGGGGCCCGATGACATAAACCTCTCAGTCCCTGGAGCCACACAGTATCTGCAGAGTCTGGCTCACATAGCCGTGAGCGTCTGTGTGGAATCACCTCACCTGTGGGATTGTCCAGAGTCTGCCGGGTTTCAGAGAGACCTTCTGGAGCGACTGCTGCGGTGCCTGCACTATGAGGTTCGGCTGTTTGTCCTGGATCAGCTCCTCAGGAGACTTCAGAAGACAGAGGAAGACTCTCAGCATCGTGGTCAGGGACCCTTGCCCTTTGACCTCAGTGTGTCTAGCCTAACCTCCCTGGCCTTTCATGAGACGTACCCTGGGTGTCAAGCCAAGGTGAGGAAATCACGCTTTTGCATCAGAATACTGTACAAAACACTGCAAAAAATAAATAAATACAGCACAACAAAACTTGCAAAAGCTGTAACTTTACAGAACTTTAAACACTTTACAAAAACAAAACCACAATAACAATGACTTGCATTACTTCATCTTTAAACACTCTTCTAAGCCTTACCAAACACAATACAAAAGCCTTAAAAATCTAAAGCTACAAAATATCACTCTGGAAATAGTGATTGTTTGTGACCAACAAAAGTTTCTGATTCTTACACGTTTTGTTCATCATGATAATCTTCACAAATGAACACAACATATGAATTTTGAAGCATAAATGCAATCGGCAAAAGTAAAAAGCTATACACTATAAACAAACTACACGACGGTTGAATGAGTTCAGTGTCACCACCAATAAGCTTCCAGAAACATTCTTATATATTACCTTTATTTAGCCAGGAAAAAGACTCTTAAAAGAATCTTAAATCTCTTCTGCAGGAGATTTAATCTTAAAATCTCTTTTGCAGGAGTGTCCTGGCCAAGATAGGCAGCCGAGTTTGCGTATACAAATAAACAACAGTTACAACATACAATACTAAAGCCATCATACAAACATATAACCAATTAAAAACAATTACACACCATTAATTCACTGTCTAGATGACTTAATGATTTTTTTTAATAGTTATAAGACACCAAGTTTTTTAACTTCATGTCCTTTTGGAGAAGAATCCTTTATTTGAAGGTTTTACAAAGCTCAGTTCTGACAAGGGGCACACAAAGATTATAATTTGACTGAGAACGTAATGAGTAATTGCCAGACAAAGTCCTTTTAATGAAACAAAAGAGATTACAAAATGACAAATAACCCAATATGTGACCCTGGACCAAAAAAACAGTCATAAGTGTACATTTTTTGAAATTGAGATTTATACATCAATCTGAAAGCCGAATAAATAAGCTTTCCATTGATGTGTAGTTTGAATATTAGGCTGAGATACAACTATTTGAAAATCTTCAATCTGAGGGTGCAAAAAAAAAAAAAAATCTAAATATTAGAGAAAATCGCCTTTAAAGTTGTCCAAATAAAGTCCTTAGCAATGCATATTACTAATCAAAAGTGAAGTTTTGTACATATACGGTACAATAAAACAAGCACATACAGTCTTGCCAGAGGTATCTAAAACAAAATCTGTTCAGTTGGATTTTATGTACACAAAGTTTTGATATATTTACGGTAGGAAATTTGCTAAATATATTCATGGAACATGATCTTTACTTAATATCCTGATGATTTTTGGCATATAAGAAATAATTCAATAATTTTGACCCATACAGTGTATTTTTGGCTATTGCTACAAATTTACCCGTGCTACTTAAGACTGGTTTTGTGGTCCGGGGGGCGTATTACAAAAAGTTTCTTATCTTAGGTCTTCACCTAGGTTCACGAAACGGTCGTCCATAAAATGCATTGCTGTTCTGTTGTAAGTGATCTTAAAGATTCCTAAATGCATCTACTTTCGGAAAGCCAAATAAAGTGCTTTTGCTTTCGCTTAGAAACACACAGCGTCTCCCTGACATGGCTGCTTCAACACTAACTGTGGTTACTGAAACCACGCCTTCTTTCTTTGCGTGAACATTTGGGCCGCATTATGCAAATATTCCTACATAGTGAGGTAGATATGTGGGGGCGTGTTAGAACGAGACGTTTTAGGGGGGCGTGGCAGAGTCTCAACTTTGATCAAGAATATCTCTTTGTTTTTGAGACTTTAGTCTTTGCAACTTCAGGGATCTTATCTATGCACAATCAGCTTGTAACACTCCAACGAGAAAGGAAAACTTGAAATCGCATCATATGACCCCTTTAAGATATATGTTAAGTTAGGATTTTTCACAAATTCGAATTACAGAAGCAAATCTTAACTTGATTTGGGATTCTTATCCTATCTTACAAAATCGTATCTTATCTCTAGTTAGGAAATCTTAAATTGCATTATCATGTTCGACGATCCATTCTCAGGTCTGGTACCAAGCAACCAACACTGCGCCAGCTGCTGATGAGGTAAACAAAATAATAGAAGCTACTTCACTTGAAAATCGCCTGTTGCAAGAAAACGTAAGGCATTACACTGTGTCTACACTGGACGCGAGCGGTGCAGCGCGGCGCGACAAAATACTATAGAACTCATTATAGCCAGTGATGCTGTCTACACTGGATGCGGCACGGCACGACACGACAAATCCTCGACAGTATACTGCTGCCGCGTTCTATTTATGACGTGCTGACACAAATTTCAAATGATTTTCAGTGGTCACTTTGTCGCGTCCAGTGTAGACAGACTTTACCTGTCGCGTCCGGTGCTCTGTGACGCTTTGTTGGTCTCTGTAATGCTGGTTGCAGTTCCTGTGCTAACTGTAATATCATGTTGCGTGGCAGTCTATAATTACTTATAAGTGTTTTGTCATCAAAATGTAACACATCTTCAGGGTCCTCCAAGAGTCTTTCTACCATTAAGCATCTCCGTTCTTCATTTTCAATAATTAATAAATGCAATACCATTGTTGGACAGCGCAATTGTAAGCGGCTTTTCCGTTAGCTTTCAAATAATTTTGAAGTTAAGACAGCTGTGGGGCTGTCCTAAAGTTAAGACATTTTTTGTCAAGTTAGGAGGTTTCTGTAATACCCCCTTCCTATCTGTAGTTAAGATAAGATAACACACTTAGGAAATGCTGTTCTGTAATAGCGTTTGTCCTAAATGTGGTCCTAACTGAAATTACCATGGTTGCCAAACAGATAAAATAAGATTTTAAAGTTAGAATCTTTCTGTAATATGCCCCGCAGGGCCATATTCACACACACACACACACACACACACACATATAGATATCAATAGATATCAATGCATTTTTCTCTGAATTTTTCTTCTTAATCTTTATTTAAAATCTACAAATGGAAAAGTTTGAATTAAAATAGAATAGTTCCAAAAAACGCAATTTATAAACATGATCCTGTGAAGGAGGACAAGTTTAGATTTAGTAGATTAGTTTTACAGTTTTCCATGATAATGTTTACCGTCCAAAACAACCTCTGTAGTCCCAAGACACATGTTGTATTTTGTGTCGTCAGAATAAAGCGTGAAAAAAATCTTGAGCTTGTGTTGACCACTAGCCTTATTTCAGGCATTTCACCAAAAACCCATTCAAAAAAACGACGTCAAAACCAGAAGTGGATGAACTATCATAAGTAATCATATTTAGACATTAGACATGTCTACCATATTATATCTATTGTATGTATATCTCATTTGCTGTTATTAAATTGTATTATGTAGCCTTTATATCAGCATTCAGCAGCCTATAGCCTATACAGTGGGGGAAAAAAGTATTTAGTGAGCCACCAATTGTGCAAGTTCTCCCACTTAAAAAGATGAGAGAGGCCTGTAATTGTCATCATAGGTATACCTCAACTATGAGAGACAAAATGAGAAAAAAAATCCAGAAAATCACATTGTAGGATTTTTAAAGAATTAATTGGTAAATTCCTCGGTAAAATAAGTATTTGGTCACCTACAAACAAGCAAGATTTCTGGCTCTCACAGACCTGTAACTTCTTCTTTAAGAGGCTCCTCTGTCCTCCACACGTTACCTGTATTAATGGTATCTGTTTGAACTTGTTATCAGTATTTTTTTTTCTCATTTTGTCTCTCATAGTTGAGGTTATACCTATGATGAAAATTACAGGCCTCTCTCATCTTTTTAAGTGGGAGAACTTGCACAATTGGTGGCTGACTAAATACTTTTTTCCCCCACTGTATATAAGCAGCCTATATATCAGCATTGTATTAGCCATCCTACTCTTCACATATCAGTAACAACAATGGACACTGACATTTGAACATCAGTCCAAACAATTCACATTAGACAAATTTTGGTGAAATTTCACAGGCTAAAAAAAAGATGCAGTGTATATTGTCAATAGTGCAGATATAGAAAGCACAGCTCACACAGAAGTCACTTTCAAAGCAAGCAGCTTTCTGTTTGACAAAGTGGCGAATCCGTGTGACCAGCTTGAACCTGTTACACAATCTGCATGGATAAATCTGTCAAAATTCCCAGTAGATTTCGCCCTTAAAAAGGCACCAGACATGATGAACATTAATTTTCCATTCGCATCTGGTTGTGCACACACCAGATTTAAAAGATTAATATTGCATACTAGATTGCACCAGCACCCTAAAAACATAGCATGCTCTCAGCAGCTGTGGACTCCAACAAACCTACTCATTGTTGAGGCAGCGGTTTGAGGTGGTGGAGATCCCTCTGGGGAGGCGAGAGGTACTCTGTTGAGCGGCTAGCACTGTTAGCGGGAAGCGTAATGGCTTCAGATGTGGGCTCCGACTACAAAAGAAACCACACATACCTGTGGTCGCCAGCCAGCCCGTGTACATCAATCACCCTTTCATACCTACGGCAGAGCGGGAGGGAGATTGATTTACACATTAAAGGGTCACAGCTACCTGTGCTTTCAATTGAGAGAGTGTTCGTATACCTTTACATAGGGTTATCCCCTATAATTTGTGGGTATGTACATGCTAGGAGGTTGTGTGCATATCTTAATGTGTGTTTATGTGGCAGCAGGTGCAGTTGGACTGTTGTTTTTGGCTCCTAGGTGCCTGTAGGGACCTCAGAATAACAGACACCTTCACATCCCAGTGCGCAGTGAACACAGGCCGTCGGTAATACATTACAAAGACTCCCGCTTCCTGCAACGCTCATACGCTTTCAGTCTCTCCCCTTAAGTTCAGTGTTGTGAAATGCTTCGCGGCGTATTGCTGTTTGTACAGTGTGACATGATACATGTCTTTTGTAGCAGTCGCCCTGTGATTAAGCAACACCGTAGTACTTACGGTTAGCTGTGTGTGTCTGCGATTGTGTAACGCACTTGGACGCTTGCAGTGTTGTGTAATGGCACATTTGCAGAGTGTATTTTGGTAGCCGTGTTCTGTTGGACAACACATGCTGGATTACACCTGTTCTGAGATCGAGTTAGTAAACCAGCCCCTCTGGACTTGGCCTGGGGGTCGTTTTCAAGTGTGTATCAGTGTGTCGTCAGTTTATGATCAGACGGTCCAGACGGTGGTGGAAAAATCTGGAAATTCTAAAATGGTTATTTACAGAACTGGAAAGTTCAAGAGGGAAAGTAGATACAGTAGCTTTAAATAATAATAATATATAATAATAATGAATTTTATGAATAATTAACTGGCTTCATAATTTGAATTTGTGTACTAAAAAAATGAATAAAAAAAATTCAGTTCATTACAAATAAATGGCAAGTGGCACACTGAATAAAAAAAATGCTGAAGAAAGACAAATAGTTTTTTCTTGTAAAACATACTCCAATTATCTTTATAATAATTTTTTATATTTTTTAGTGTAGAACCTTATAATGCTAGATTTATTTAGTGTGTGTGTGTGTGTGTGTGTGTATATATATATATATATATATATATATATATATATATATATATATATACAGTATTAAATAAACACTTACGCGCACACACACGCACACACATTCATATACATATAATCTATGTGTGTGTGTGTGTGTGTGTGTGTGTGTGTGTGTGTGTGTGTGCGTAAGTGTTTATTTATTTATTTATTTATTTATTTATTCTCTCCCAAAAAGCCCTGGGAGTCATTCCTTTTCAAATGTTTTAGTGAATCATATCAATTCATTTATCAGCATTCACAAATGTTCATGGAAGACCCTGTGTTGCATGTATGGAAATGCATAAAAGAAAATGTGTTGTTAGCCGGTCAGTGAATTTACATGACAACTCTGTAAAAAAAAAAAAAAAGATTTTGGTCATTGTCGTTCTATTTTCTGCTGAATTTTTTGGAAAAATCAGTTCATGTGGAAAACACGCCTCGAGCCATCAACATGACTTATGACAATATTTGATGTATTTTTGTTGCATCACCCTCACTTTCCCAGTTGTTGGTAATAAACTGAAGTATGCAGCTGTTCTTGTGTGTGTTTCAGTGTGGAGCTCTACTGTGCCGCTCTCTCCCTAACATCTCAGCTGGTGCTGCACCTGGCCGAGTCAACGCCACAGGTAAGGAAGAAGAAAAGAAACAAGAGACAGAGGAAGGGAAAGAGTGAAGCATTGTGTTGGAAGTTTCCAGACAGACTTAAGCAAGTTAAACTGGACACACTATCACTCTCTATCTAGACTGGAGCAGATTACAGATACTTAACCTTATAACGGCTTAACATTCCGCCTCATCTCACTACAAATATGAAAAATCCCTGGGAAAAAAGAAAGAGCATATGTGCTTTAGCTTAACCACAGGCTCCGGAAAGATTAACCTGTTTGATTTCACGCAAGTTTTTAAGAGCTGTTAACGTTGTTTGTAGCTCACTAAAATGTTTGTGAATGGTCGTTAGGCGATTAGCCGCTAGGTTACTAATAACTAGAAACTAATACTTATTCTGCAAAGATTCTTTAATTTCAGGTGTCAGTATAGATTTTTACATTGTCACAAAAAAATCTTATTTTATTTTAATGTTAAATAAACGCTGTTCTTAAACACTTTGTATTTCTAAAAGAATCCTGAAAAGAAAAAAACTCGCATTTTCTACAAAAATATTAACCAGCACAACTCTTTTCAACGTTGATGATAAGAAATGTTTCTTGAGCATGAAATCAGCATATTCAAATTATTTTTGATGTGACACTGAAGACTGGCGTAATGATGCTGAAATTTCAGCTTCGCATCACAGGTGTAAATTACATTTTATTTTAAAAAAATATAGAAATGGTTATTTTAAATTGTAATAATATTTCACAATATTAATGCATGTTTTAGTGTATTTTTGCTTTTGAACAGTAGTGTATTGTCAAAGCATGATCACAATCGCATATCACAATAATATATGTTTAGTTTTATTATAAAGTTATTTTTGCTGGAATTTCAATCAAATATGGTTTATGTTTTAAATGTGGTAACATTTGGATAATACTGTAAGCTAACTGATTTAATTCAAAGAGAAAGTGTCTTTCATTTCAATTTTCTACTATTCATTTGGAACTGGATGGATGCAAACCAATACTTTGCATTTACACGAACAACAAATGAATTGATTCATAAGCAAGTGAATGACAAGTTTGGCATCAATGCAAAAAAAGAAGAAAAAAAAGACTAAAACTAATATAAAAAAATGGATTGCACCAGTTATGATTAGATTAATTGTTCACTTTCTGAATCACAAGCTATTGTACAATAACAATAATAACATACAGTGAAGTATCTAGCCATAATATAATATATAATACAATACAAACATACAGCACTATGTTGTATACATCAACTTTCCAAGGCATTACTATCTTATGCATCACTGTACCATGGTATATCACCACAGGACTTTTTTTCCCCTGAGAGACTGATGTTCTGTCAGTAATGTGTTTATCTTACAGCAGGATGTCAGTGAGGCTGCAGTGGTCTGTCTGAGCAGATGGGGGGCGCTGGTCATGCAGGGCTGCGCTGAGGATCAACCGGCAGAAGTCAAACTCGTGTCAGCAGAGGTGCTGGTGAAGGCCGTCCACTCCTTACTTACGGCTCCAGCCCTGCCCCTGGGTGAGTGGACGTCTGTGGACAAGAACACGTATGCAGGAATCTGAACTAAAGCTTACACTGTGTGTGTGTGTTTTCCAGGTATCACACACACTGTGGCACTATGGAAGAGCCTGTTTACATTATTACAGGATGAAGATCAGGACGTCAGAGACGGAGCAGCTGACTTCACCTGCTACATACCAGCCCATTTACACAACACAGGTACACACACACACACACACACACACACACACTAAAAGAACACTCTGGGTTCAGTGCAAGTGAAGCTCTGTTGAAAGCCTTTGTGCCGTAACGTTGAATACCACAGACAAGGGATTCCCTTTTTTTTTTTCATCAGCCAAACCCTTTTGACCGGAAATATTCACTTGAAGTAAATAATAGTACATTTTAAGTTATTTCATTAATTTCACAAAACAATTGCTTGTTTACAGTTGTCTGATGTTGGTTAATGGTCACGTGACATGCAGGTAAACAAATAAAATATGAATTTTATCATATAAACTCTTTCTAGTATTTTAAGTATTTGTTTTTGGTGGTTTTTGTTTCAAATTTATTTACTTTATTTATTTGCAAACAAACAAACAAACAAACATATTATGTGTGTTAGGCTGAAACTAGTATGCTTAAAATGGTGTGTACAAAGTAATATTTCATTTCATGATTTGTATCTGATTTAATTAATTATTAGCTCATCATTATTAGCTTTTCATCAACTCGTGAACCCCAGTTTAGGAAATCCTACTACAGATACTTGTTAAAAATAAATAAATGATGTATGTATGTATGTGTATATATATATATATATATATATATATATATATATATATATAGTTACAGAAGTACAAAACAAGTACACTGGCAATAAACATTCAAATATACACAGTTTATGAAATATAGCCACAAAGCGTAAACTTTGTAATTGTTAGCATAAAACTAGCATGGTAAGTCACTTGCTGCCCTTGTCTGTGCAAAGAAATAATTTAATAATTCAATATTTAATTTAATAAATAATCAATATTTCAGTTCCATGGCCATGTAAAACCAAAAATACTACAAAGGGATCGTTTACATGAGCGCAAGCTCACTCATTTACAGGACTGACGTCTGTAACACATACCAAAAGTTCCTCAAAGTAGTTTTACCACTTAAAGAATAATTTAGTTTAACAGCTCAAACAAAACAGATTTTGCAACTTCAAATGCAAGCTGCATATTTTTAAACACTTCCATTGTGAATGCATTACTGTACTGATTTGTCTAAGGAAAAAGTTGTAGGTGTAATTTCTGTGCTTGTATTGAACCCAGAACATTGATTTAAATCAATGGAGACATTGGCCTACACAAGACAGATACACAGAACAACACTCACTCAGGAGATCAGATGAGGGAGGTGTTTTAAAGAGTGTTTCTGAGGGATGGGGGGAGGTCAGGTCAGTGCTGTTTACGAGCTCGTCTGACTGAGCGACAGAGGAGAGGTGTGGAGGAGAGGTGGTGAACGGCAGCCCTGTGCCTTTGAAATGGAGGTGTGTGGGTCAGCGATGCAGAGAGGAGCAGCACCTCTGTCCCATAAATCAGTCACATCAAAACAACATCATTACCACATTCTCTTGACACGCTGATATCCTGCTTCACATGGGCAAGAAAAACAAGAGCAGGGTGGGGGAAGAGTCTTAGAAAGCCTTGTCCCACAATTCTTTGTGCTTTCTCTTGTCGCCAACCCACAATAAGTTACTGGTTTTTCGGTAGCTGACATGAAGTTTCAAGCAGTGACAGCTGCTGCAGTTGATCTAAATGAGATGTAAAATTCTTATGCATGCAGTTTTTCTGATCTCATATACATGGCTGGCTGGAATACTTGACTCTGATTGGTCAATCACTGCATTCTGAAAATGTTTTTGTATAATGATCGTTGAACTGTATAATTATTACATTAGGTGGTAATTATTGTCTCAACTTTCATCAGCCAGTCATTATCACAAAATATTGGATTTATTTTGTGTTTAGTGAATGACTAGCTGCAAATGATCCCAAACGACAATGGCATATTTGTACTTTAAAAATGAATTTGTCACTCCGCACAAGTGTATAACTTTGTTTTAGCATTTTGTGTATAATTTTATATATTATATTTAGGCCGGTTGATTTAACAATAATTTGGTGCAATTAATTTAGGAAAAAAAAAATGTTTTACATTTATTAATGCATTATATTATATTATAATTTATTACATTATAAAACACTACTATTTTTTAGGGCACTTTAAATTGATCAAAAGTGACAGTATAAACTTTTGCATTGTTGCAGAAGTTCAATTCAAAAAAAGAAGAAATGTAAAAAAAAAAAAATGCATCACAGTTTCCACAAAAATATTAAGCAGAACAACTCTTTTCCATATTGATAATCATAGGAAATGTTGGCAAATATATGCAAATCAGCAAATTAGAATGATTTCCGTCATGTGATGCTGAAAAATCAGCTTTGCATCACAGGAATAAATTACATTTTAAAATATTTTCAAATAGAAAAAAAGTTTTGTAATAATATATCACAATATTATGGTTTTTACTGTTTTTTTGATCAAATAAATGCAGCCTTGGTGAACATGAGAGACTATTTTCAAAAACATTTAATTAAAATCTTTCCTATCCCAAACTTTTGAACTGTAATGCATATGTAAATGTTATCCTAAAAATGTTGATGGTGAAAAAATAGTTTACTGGCATGTTATTTTTCAACAGACTTCTAGTTTTAGAAAGAAACTTGACTGAGAAAGATGAAGCAGTTCAGATATATATGAAGTAACTAACATGATCTCCCATGCACTGTAATCACATTTCTGGCTTTGTACTTGGCCCTCTTTCTTTTCGCCGTCACAGTGAAGTCTTTGTGTAGTACACGAAACCGAATTCAATTAGACACTTTTATTCCTCTGCTATCTCAATACAAATTAGGTTGGAAATCAGAACCCCTGGCATCACTTGACAAGGCTTTTAGGAGGGTGAGAGGTACATCTGATAACAGCATTAAGACGGAATAGGACCATATTCTCACGGGGGGAACTCGGGAGTGTTCAAGCATTTCAAATGTAATTACTGTCCCCGAAATACTCAGTGCTTTTCACTTGTGTTTGCCAGATTTTTTTCGGGACTGGTTTGCCTCGGTTACAGAGATGTAGCCTTGAACAAGTGTAAATATTTGGTGAGGAGTAGTTGCTAAGGTGTTGCTTACTGGCCCAGGTAAAAAAAAACAACTCTGTAATATGCAAGTCTACAGCATTACTAAGGGACTTTTTTTGCCTGTTTTTCCTCTGCCAGGCAAAAATCACATTCTGATCCCTTAGAAATAACCTCTAGTCAACAAAACGCGTGATTTGAGGCATTACTCATGTCAGAACTTCAAACAGTGTGGGACGCATAGTTTATTGCTTAGGGTTAAAGGTTTGTTCGAATCCCTAAACCAAGAACCATTAATTATGTTGCCTTGGTGTATTATTGTCGTCATAATGTGAATCACCATAATAATGCTCCTTCTTGTTCCACTACCGAATCGTGTTTTTACTTGCCATATTTAAATATAAAGCATTATTACTGTTATTACATGTAAATTGCGAAGCTTTTTCCCCGCATGTTATATCCAAGTACAACATCAACTCTTTTGAAAAACCTTAAACATTTGTTGCTCGCATGACTCCGGTTGGTATTGTTCTTGGCGCATCTGGTTTCGTTTTGAGGACGTTCTCACCAGTCAGCTAATGTCCAGCTCCAGTGCTGTGCGTGTAATGTCTTTAGCAGTAGATGCCCTGTAGTCATTCATGTAATGGATTACAAGATGAGGTCTGAACTGATCCGTGGATCATCCATGCATTAAACCCGTAGTGTAGCTCAAAGGTGCTCAATCATTAAAGCAGAGCTCTTTGGCACTAATAGTTTAGGCATATTGGCCCTGTCATTCATTTTAGCTTAAACATGTTCTGGAACTAAAATCCTGTTTTCTCCATGAAGAAAGTGATTTTTAATTATATAAATCATAGTAAATTTCCATGAGCTCTGAGATTTGTACAATTTTAACAAATTAATTATTATTATAATTATTTAATTGCTGAATTTCTGTACAGAATCTGTATTAGATCCATGGCAATGAGCAACTGTTGGTCTCAGATTGAGTATTTTTAACTTCATATCAAAGTTTATGGTAACACTTTAGAATAGGGAATACATATTCACTGTTAAGAGTTTAATAATATCATTGTTATTTACACCCTTATATTTGTGCAATTTTTGTGATCTATTCTTATTGCATAAGAAAGATTTTTGTCAATTAAAAATAATGGCACTAATATAATGGTTAAAAATACTACGAAAGATGTTGATATTTATATTTATCGGATTGTCGGTCTATCTAGTTTGTGCGTACGAGAATGCATGCATGTGTGAGTTTATCAGGAAGTGACTCATTTGATGGAAACGGTGCTTATTCGCAAATGTTTTATGTGATTTTCCAATTTTGCGCACAAGTTAAATTCGCAACTTTGGATGGAAACCCAGCTAGTGTGTTTATCTCCATATAATAGAAGCCACTGGTCGCCAAAACAGGTTGGTTACCAGCATTCTTCAAAATATCCACAGAAGAACAAAACATCAAACAGGTTTGAAGAACATTATGGTGAGTCAATGGTGACAGAATTTTAGTTTTTGGGTACGATATCCCATTAAGAGCAGCAAGGACTTGAACACACTGCTGCATACACCGTTAGGAACATTATGAAAATACAGAAGTGGTAAAAGGACAACTTTGTACCTTATCTACCCATAAAAGGTGCATAATAGAGTAGTAATATGTACTCTTAAGGTGCTACTATGATCGTTTTAGGCATAAAAAAAGATACAAAGTTGTCATTTTAAGGGTACTGCACAAGTGACAAGCTGTTGTACCTCCAAAAGTAAATTTTTTTTTAATAAGCATACATTTTCAGCCTTTAAATTTGGAATTTATACAGATGCGATATGTTATATGAATGTTCTGAAACACATCAAAGGTTCTCCTTAAAAATAACACCGAAAACACTCGCTCTCGCAGATGTGAATACAGAACATCCTGTTGAGTAAGTGCTGAAGAGATTAAGAAATCCTGTTATTAAAGTGCTAAACCACAGAAAAGGGAATGGAAAGAGCTTGAGTTTCCTATTATTTCTTAATGTCTGGGTGCCGTTATTTGTTCGGCCTTGGATGGCGTCCAGCACCAAAGCCCACGGGGAAGAAAAGCACCTCTGACATCAGACTCCGGTAAAGCAAGAGATGGGGCGTCCCAACACATCACACAGAGAAAGGACCATGTCACCATCTGATGTTCTTTCCATGTTCTTGTAACGTCTGCCTGTGGCCTTCTACTAAATTTGCCTTGGAAAGCCGATCTGTGTAGAGGTTGCTTTCCCAGAGTTCCTTTTGGGGGAGGGGTGAATGGGTGGGCAGCCAAGGTGTTGCTTTGCTCTTGTTCTCTTTTTTGGTTTTGACTGGCAAGTCCTGGTGACTTTTGAAGTCGCCTTAGTAATTTGCATGTCAGATTCTGGTTAGGAAGGGGGGTGATGGAGGGAAACTGGAGTTCAAAACAAACTGCATCAGATCTCTCAGATCTTTGATGCATGAACAACTGGGGTCGTTAAAGCCAAAGGGAGGTCGATGGGCGTCAGTGTTGTTGTGTCTTCGTATGCGTACTTAGATCTTTTCTCACTTCCCTTATCTCACATCTAAATCTATTCTTAGACCCAACTTCCCGACCGTTGAGTCAAAAACGACCGGTATCAAATGCCTGCACGCGTGCATATGGCACGTTGTGGTTTCCCTTGTGCGCGTTTTGCTTCTGAGTGATAGTTTTGTTTCTCTCAAATGGGTTCCATGCCAGGCGAAGATGGAAACACGCTGTCTAGAGAACAAAAAGAGAGCGAGGCATCAATCTCAGGCTGTTGCTTTACATCCAACGCTCTGGCAAGTCTCAGATTGGGAGCAGATTGCATTGTGGCAAAGCACCACCTCCATTGCCTGAACCCAGTAATGCCTTGGAGACGAAAGAAACCAGACTAAGATTGACGTGGCTCATTAAATTGATCTATTTAAACTTTCCATACGTGTGTTCCAGAATCATTCGTTTCGCTGAATTCTGTTACATCAGGGAATATTTGTCAGACTTCTGTGTTCTACCGCATTTCTAGGTGTTTCCACGGGTGCCGTCTCTCCTCCGGTTGCCCTGGAGATGGGGGTGGGTCTTTTGTGCCAGCTGTTCCAGATGTGGGGCCAGGTGGCTGCTGGAATGGTGAACCTGATACAGTGGCTCCTGGGAGATGAACAATCGGATACAAGGTGTGAAGAGTCACTGGACTTGGTAAGGAGCACTTTTGCTTTTTTCTTGTGTAACTTGTTTTTAATGCATCACTGATTTTGCTCATGTTTGGGAGCTTTTATAAACTTTGGCACTAAATTCGTACAGCCACAAATGACGTCAGAATCATGACACAAAAAATTGGCAACGTATTGTGGAGAGGTGTGCTATTACTTTTCAAAACTGTGAAATGTTTAAGCTTCAGATGGCGAGTGATAAAATTGTGTGGGAAACCCCATAGACTTACATTGATGGACCTATATTTTTTAGCCACCTTGATTCTGGAAATATTTTCCCCATTCATTTTTCCCATAGGAATTTTAAAAAAAAGTCTTTGTTGACGAGTTGTAAGCTATAAACCAAACCGTTACAAGGTGAATCACAACATTACAAACTTTGATTTGAAGCTAAAAATGTATTTAAAAATTGGATTCTTAACAGCTTCAATGAGAAAAGGACTACAATCCCGTAAAGCCCTGAGAATGACATAATAAAAACAATATATTTGGTTTATTGCAAACTGTGCTTTAATATACAAATATTGAAGTAGTTTGAGAGCATATGGAGACTGACTCAAGTATGTCAAAATGGGTGCTGAAGTATTCTTTTGTGAATTGCTTGATGCAGTGGAGATTTTTCTGTAGAATCATGGGTAATGTAGTTTTTCCACCTGGAATTCCTCTATTCAATATTATTATCTTAAAAATAAGTTGAAATAAGGGACTGACGGCTTCAACTAAAGCATATACCATTGATTTACAACCTCACTGCTCAAAGTGATTCTGTCTTTAAAGGTGTATAAGTTACAGTTTAAAATCTATAAATTGGATTTTTACTTCCAGAACCCAACTGTTGCACTTTATGTGACCCGTCTATTAAAATAGGCCACTACGCATTCACTTATTAACGCCCTAGAAATCCCCCAGAACGCCCTACTGCATATCAAAGAACTAAAAATCACTCAAAACACTTTAGAAACTGCATAGCAATTCCCTGGAAGCGCCCATTGTCTCCATTGTCAATGCCCTGCTCACTTTGTCTAGAGAAAATCTAGTTTAAATATGTAGGTTCTTCTTATTCTCCTCCTTTTCCAGGATGAGGAGTTCCTCTTTGAGAAGGGAGATCTTAACCTGTGGGCAGAGCCTTTGTTATGGGCACGGATGTTGCACAGACACCTCTCTGCCCTCGTAAGTGTGACACATTCACCTGAAGTAAGCGCCGCAGAACTGGACCGACTATCAGCCATCGCAAAGAGCAATGCCCTGGCGGCTCAGCGTTCGATGAAAGCCCTCCCTGCACTGCCCCAGTTTTCAGCCACCATCGAGTATGCCAAGATATCGCTGCTGAAAGAGAGAACGTCACTCGCTCTGAATCTTCTAGATACACTTAGATCTTCTTAGATGACTGTGAAAGATAGAGAAAGTGAAAGGTGTCATGCATTACGAACCTATTTTAATCTCACAGTGGTTTTCCTGTTTAAGAGCTGAATTGCATGCAGGCATGACCACATACTTTTTTAATTCAAATAAAGTGTATTACGTTCATTTAACTGTGGGATTACTTCTGTACAGTAATGTGTGTTTGCAATACTGAGAATGTGAGAGGTTTTATTCTCCTCAGCTGTGTTTTCAATATCACACCTTGTGGTATTTGAGCAAGCTGTTGTATTTTTTTATGCATAGCTTAACTGCTTTTAGTTAAGGACATTTTTTGGTTGCTCCTCTTGTGTATGTTATGCAATCTGAGCAAAACAGTCTGGTGTCCGTTTGCTAAGTAGACAGCTGGGCTGCCTTCAGGGGCTGTAGTAGCAATGTTCCCCTTTTACTGTAAAATGATGTAATGTTTTGGAATGTCAGCAGCCTATTCCTCTCTCACACACACACACACACACACACACACACACACACAGGGTGGGTAAAATAATACATACCGTTCTCCTCACCAGGATCATTTTTTTTTTAAATTTGTGTAAATGTGCTTCACTGAAACCATAAAAAAAGGAATTGTAATACAAGAGTTCTGCTGAGATATGCAATGGGAACTGAAGGAGAGAAAAAAGAGAGAATGTGAAGTGAAATATATTTTCGGCCTGTCATATTTTGTGCCTGTAGGTGGCGCTCAAGCTCTTTTTTTGACGAGAGGCATTGAGACCGTTAGAGGGCAATATTGTATCGTTTTTGTTAGAGTTTGAGTTTCTTGAAAGATTTGATTTTTACTTTGTTGCAGCTTGTTGAAACTTTTAGGTTTCATATGTCTATCTTTTTTTAATAAATGATACAATGCAAAAAAAATGATTTTTTTATGCAATTCTAGGCTAAAATGCACTTTATTTATACAGGTAAAGATAAGCAGAGGAAAACGTAACATGCAGATAAGTGTCAAAGTTTCTGACTCTCTGTGTGTATGTATATATGTGTATATATATATATATATATATATATATATATAACCTTTGATCAAAGTTTTCCTTAAAACCAAAATGCGTGAAAATAAAATGCATTAGTATTTTTATATTATTTTGAAGTATTTATTGACTCTTCTTGTTTTAGAACTATGTGTTGGTTGCACTGAGTTCATCTTGGAAGTTGTTCGGTGTTGGAGAGGTGCTGTGAGTGAGTGAGTGAGTGTGTGCGCCGCAGGAGGGGTGCAGAAAGCGACCAATCAGATCCACAGTCCCTTGACACTTGAAAAGCAGGGCGTAACTTTTGCGGCAACTTTCGCAGTAAGGTCCTCCTCCTCCTCCTCCTCCTCTTTACGCGCTGTCCTCAAGCTTATATGTGCAGGAGAGTAAAGCAGACTCTTTACTGTTCTGGCTCGGCTCGGCGCGGTGGGAGAAGACTAACAACACAAGCACGCAACGAGAAACTCAGCCTTCCTTCTCTGAGTTTCAGAGCACGTCTGAGACTATCTTTTGCACAAAGTCTAAGCCAGTGGCAAACTAAACGTCTTCGCATCCAAAGGCTCCAGGTCGGTCCTCAAATGAGAGATCATCTGCGACTGTCTTCTTCTGAAGAAACCGAAATGTCTGCGACCATCCTGTCCGCTTTCTACGACATCGACATGCTGTACAAGGTACTTTGCTGATTTAACAAACAAGCTTGCTTGCTTATCTTTGCTGGGACTTTACAACGTTAGTGCATGGCCGAAACGAGTGCATACATAGTTTTGCAACTACATTGTATTGATTGTAACTTTGTTTCTCCTCTCTGCACAGCAGGAGAAGAGCCTCAACATTAACGCCATTCACATTAACAGCATGCTGGATAAGAAAGCAGTCGGGGCCCCGGTAACAACCTCCAGCAGCAGCAACAACTGCAACTCGTACGCGTCAGGATTCTTCCGTCGAAACTCCACCAGCAACATGGAGTCCATGACAAACGGCAACAAGTACCCCGCCAGCTCCTACAGCAGCAGCAGCATGAAGGAGAACGCCATCATGAACAAGGAGAACAAGTTCCGCGACCGCGCCTACAGCGAGAGCGCCCAGCAGCTGCAGCAGAAGCCGGGCTCGCAGATCAACTCCACCCGCTACAAGACGGAGCTCTGCAGGCCTTTCGAGGAAAACGGCGCTTGCAAGTACGGCGAGAAGTGCCAGTTTGCGCACGGCTACCACGAGCTGAGAAGCCTGTCTCGCCACCCCAAGTACAAAACCGAGCCCTGTCGCACTTTCCACACCATCGGCTTCTGCCCGTACGGTCCGCGGTGCCACTTCATCCACAACGCCGACGAGCGCAGACCGGCGCCGAGCAACGCCAACAGCGTGCAGGGAGAGTCCGCCAAGCCCGCTCGGTGCGAGCCGCTGAGCGGCTACGGACAGCAGCAGCAGCAGCACCGACCGAAACTCCACCACAGCCTCAGCTTCTCTGGTTTCTCCAGCCACCACCACCACCACCACGGACTCGACTCGCCCCTTCTCGAGAGCCCCACGTCGCGCACGCCGCCTCCCTCCAGCGGCTCCTCCTGCGCCGCGAGCTTCTACGAAGACGCTCGCTGCCTCGGAAACAGTGCCTTCTCTTTCACCGGCCAAGACCTCAAAGCCCTGCTCGCGCCGCTGGCCGTGCACACGCACAACGGTTATTACGCAAACCTTCAGGTCAACATGGGCGACGGCCTCGGCCACTTGCAGTCCCTCCGGCGCCTGTCAGAGTCGCCGGTGTTCGACTCGCCCCCCAGCCCGCCTGACAGCATCTCTGACCGGGAGAGCTACGCCAGCGGCTCGCTCAGCTCCTCCGGAAGTCTCAGCGGCTCGGAGTCTCCCAGTCTGGACGGCGGGAAGCGTTTGCCAATCTTCAGCAGGCTGTCGATTTCCGATGATTAATGCGCTTTTTTTGTTGTTGTTGTAGTGGACTCGATAGCGGAGGACTCTCCCGTTAGATAGGTAGTTGAGCAATAGACTTTTTAATATCGAGGGAGATGGATTTGTGTTTGTCAGACGCTCGACATGGCATTAGTCTGTTTGAACTGCTTTGAAGGCATTCCACCGGTGCAGTTTGTTGCATTCTCTTGGTCTTTTTGGACCACCTACTTTCCAGATTTTTGTACAAAAGACTTGTGAACGTGAAAGACAGAGCGGTTTCAGATGTTCCTTCATCCTTGCCAAGAATATGCCTTGACGAAAAGTATACTAGTTTTCAAAGTATGTACATTCATTCCAAAAGTTTCTCCAGTTTCGCGGCGCCACCCAGCGGTTTGGTTGGCTTGTGCAGTTTGAAGCTCGCATTTGGCTTGTTGGGAAATCACTGCTGATGGTTGAAATATATATTTTCTTTTCTTTTCTTTTTTTTAGCTGATATGAGTGATTACATAGCAGTGCTTAACTGGCTATGAACTATTTAACTTATTTATTTTATCTTGTGAAAAGTATAGGCTACGTTGTTAATTGTCCATACTGTATTTATCGAGTATGATGAAGCAATAGATCTATATTCTTTTATGTTTAAATTATGATCGCCATTATTAATCTGCATAAAGTGGAGTGTATGTTCTTTTCACAGTAATATATATTTTTGTTTGGTCTCTTTTTGTAACTTCACTTTATTTTATTGTAAATGAGTAAAAAAAAAAAAAACATCTTAATTTAAGAGATTGTATGTGATATTTATTTCATTAATTTTGTTTCCTTGTTTACGTTCATTAAAAACAGTTTGTGTGATTTGCTGTTTGTTGGGATCTTACTTTTCAGAAGGGTTTTTTTGTTCATTTTAATTTTTGTCAGTAGAATGTATAAACTGTGGTTGGCAGAGGACCGTCCAAACATGTACTAGCCTTACATTTTCATAGAAATCAGATTTCAAAGATCCCAAGTAAATCGATTAACCAAAAAGTATTTTTTTTTTTTTGTACGTATATATCTATACAATGCACGGCAGCCACGTGCGTGAGAATGTAGCAGACCAGAGCCCCAGTATTACTGCCTAGTGCCTGTGGGGATTCACCATCTTACATTGCCTTAAGATTAACCAAATAAAGTATTTTCATACATGTTATTGTTTTACAACAAGAGGAAATGAATGTAGTTTGTAATTTAAACTTCTTGGAAGGTCGTTACCACTTATCAAAGGAGAGAAATGGAGACTTGGAGCAACAATCTGAGTTGTATTTTTTTCTATTACTCCCTATTCCTTGCCTTTTTGTTTGTTCTCTTGCTTTCCTATGATATGGTAATGGTCTGAATCTTCCAAACTTGCTGGACGGGGAAGAGTTTGAACACATTTAGTTTGTACATAGTAGGTACAGAGGATTCGTACTATGTACCTTTTTTGACTACTTTATCAGAAGTAAAGCTTTTTGAATGTAATAAAGACAAAAAGAACAGGATTTGTAACATTTGTTTTTCGGGGGGGCTCAGTTCACTACAAATTGCGTGTGAGACTGTTAACTTTGTGTACTGTACATTTTTGTAGTTCTCCCAATAAAATAATTTTGAAAAAAAAAAAAACGCGTTGGAATGCAGTCCATGTGGTTTTCATTATAAAAAAAAAAACATACTTATGCATTAGCTCTTAAAGTCACACACACACACACAAGCCACCTTTTCTATTCTTGTAGTTTTTCCCTGAAAACAATCTCGCTCTCGACTCACATGAACCCTGACGGCTTCTGCATGCTGAGGTTGAGTCGAACCGCAGTGGTGTGCATGCTTAGCTGCCTGTGAAAGGCATTATGGGGGTTGCTCCAACCTGGTAGTTTTATTTTCTGTGGCTGACTAAGACTGAACTCATCTGTATGCAGTGTCAAAACTTGTTTGGTGCATATAAATGCATATTTCAAACAATACATGATTCGTGACATGACAGTTCGCTTGCTTTGGTTATTTGATAGTACTAGCTTAACACAGCCTTCCCTAAAATAAACAGAAGAAAATGAGTGTTCACTCAAGAAAGGATGAGAACGTTTAGCACTCTGCCATTCACATATTGCTCACCATTCATAAATGACCATGATTCACATGTGGCTCAGACTTGTGCCTGTCGTACACAACAGATACTGCAGGGCATTCATGCAACCTTGACTCGGTTTAGTCATTCAAAGCTTTGCCAGCGTTTTAAAGCACTGCAGTGACTGTTTGATAAAAGCTATCGCCACCATTGAAGTCATATATAAAATCAGGAAGAACGATAACAGCAGGCAAATATTTATATAGCCCCACTCTATTTATGATAACGTAGTTATCAAGACCCACGGTGAGCAGCTCAGTGCCAAATGGGCCATGATGTATTTCTTTTGTGCGGTAACATTTGTCCATCAGGAATGTGTTGTGGAAGTGTCTTATATGTGTGACTGCAAGCGTTTTGAGTGTGTGTGTTTGTGTGTCAGTGTGGTAAATGGCCCTGGAGCTCCTACAATGACAGGAAATGCTCTGACTTCTGATTATGGCAGGAAAGACCCGGTTCCTCACTGCCTCCCATTTCCAGCTTCTCTCCTGCTGCTTTTGTCATCTTTATGGTATCAGCAGTCAGGCCTTCTGAAAGTTTCTATTTGTGTTGCACTGTGTTTAGCAGGAATTGTTGGGGAAGGAGGGGGTGCCAGATTAATGAAACTGCTGTCATGT